GTCTTAATGCCACAATGAGAATTCTTTATTTCAGTCAACATTCTTTTACGTTTGCACTTTTTTCTTTTTTAAAAACTGTTTTCATTAAAAATGGTTGATACCCTTTGGCCACTACCCCTTCTTGGTAAGCAGGAGGAAAACACTGCTCACACATACATTTTTAAAGCAATGCACAATTTAAGATTCCTGGTTGCGCTTATTCTCGGGGTTCAACTCAATCCACAATGGCATTGGGAAATGTGGAATGGTACACTTCTTAGTTAAAACACTCCATGTTTTGTATTCGGGCTCAGTGAGGCAGCTCCTGGAGGAAAATCAATCAAAAATGTATTAAAATTGCATTAAGTGTGCTGAAGCTGTAAGGAAAGCAAAAATTTTTGGAACATATTTTATATTTAAGACTAATTGGATTTCTCAAGCAGTAGCTGCATTGCCTCTACAGAGCAAACAAAGTGCCTGGTGGGGGTGAGCGGGCAGCAGAGCTAGGCTCACCACCAGCCTCCAAGGCAAAGCCCAGAGCCACCCCTGGAACAGAGTCCTGGGACAGGGCAGCTCCAGGGCATCTCTCGCTCACAGGGCAGCAGAGCTGCCAGCTGCAGGTCCTGAGCCCTGATGCCTGTCTGCCCTGCATCCGGCACACCACGAGGAGGGGGACAAGAATCTCTCCCCACGCCTGCAGCTCCCCACCAGTCCCTCCATGTTCACTAACAAAGGTGTCGATCTTACTAAGTGACCCAAAGGGTGCTCAGCTGACACCAGGGACTTCTACTGCTCCAGCATTTCCCTTAAACATTGATTATGTCCACCCCAGCACTGTTATCGCTGCCAATCAGACAATACGGAGCAAAGGAAGTAAAAATTAGAAAGCACAGGTCTGTAATTAAAACTTCATGGAAAACCAAACCTGTGCAACAGAGAAAGCATTGACACGAAGATGATCTTAGGAACAAGAGGACATGAAAAGGATGAACAGCTCACAGCAGGTTTGTGTGGGGCAACACAGGGCCAGTACTTCAGCATGTCCCTCACGTACTTCCAAAGCCTTCAATCAATTTTAAAATTCCAGAAATGATCTCTTTCTTCCTCGCTAAGCAGTGACTGTGTGGGCATCCTGAGCAGAAGCAGCAATTGAGCCTGAGGAATGGTCTCCTGCCTTACTGCTGAGACCCAAAGCCAACGTGAATATCACCCACCATCTCTGTTCCTCTTAACAGAGTCACTACCTTGACCCTGAACGGCTACTGAAATAGCGTTTTACTTTGAGTTATTACTGCCTAGTTAATGAAGGAATTACGAATATTGCTGACCTGAACATTTTCATCAAAACTGATCTTTTTTTCCATGATATCACATCCATTTCTAATTAGAATCTCTACAGAAAACTGTTTTTAGTGAAGAATGCCAGCATTTCACATAGAAAATCCATAGTTTCCTTTAAATTCTGAAGTACGCTTTAGGGTTTTATTCCATGCTTTTCTTTTGACACTTAATTATACAACAGCACTATTATAAGTTACACCCAGCTTTTTCATTACACACCAACCAGGTGATGCTTTGATCTGTAAGAAAATGCATCTCAAACAGTATCAAACAGATGCCGCCCTGAGTTTTCTCACCAGCAAAATAACAAAACCAGATGAAATATTACCAGGCAGTATAATTCAGTGCATGTACGACCATCCCGTGATAAGGCAGGATGACACGGAAGCATTCCCCACATCCCCCCCAAGGCCCTTCATCTGACATCTCGGCAGTACTCACGCCCAGGATCGCTGCGCTCCAGCACGGGTCGCTGCTGGGAACCGTCAACCTCCGTCAAGCTTGAAGCACGCAGCCAGCAAGAAGGATGCTCCAGGCAAGCGTAAGAGCCATAGTTTCCATTTAGAGGCACATTTCCCTTTCTTCTGGTCAGGAAAGCAGCGTCTCTCTTTGCGCACAACATTGCATGACTCTGAATGAGGTGTCCCGTGTGGCTGACGTAGCAGAAAGGTTTTATTTTTCCTCTGAAAATCCAAGAAAGAATTTCTTCTCCTACATCCAGGTCACAAACCTGGTGCTATAACAGGGTAGAGGAAAAGGAGCTCTTAAATTGGTGGGTTTTTTTCCTTTTTCATTTTTGCTGGAAGACAGGATATAAGTAAACTAAGGAAAACACATTTAAATCAAATTAAAATTAATAACCTCTAGAAGCAGAGTCATTCTCAAACCTAATTGCAGCAAAAGCTTCCAAAAGTAGAGGGGAAGCTCTTTGTAGAGAGAATCAAATCCATTGAAATAGCACTTCAAAAAATAAACATTTTTAAGCACCAGGTCTCCATGCTGAACTGAGAGCACCTAAGCTGAAGCTGCTCTAAGAGCTTCCTCTTTTTATCCCTGTTCAACCTCAGCCCTACTCTGTAGACACCTTCCCCAAAACCAGAAGAAAGCTCCATGAGCTTCAATTTAAAGGCCAAGGGTGCAAAGTGGTGACAGCTGCCTCGTTCAGGTGGAGCAGGAGGAAGGTGCCCAGATCACCTGGGTGTTTCCCAAAACTTGTGTTGGAGGCTGCTGCCTCTCCTGTGCTGGTCTTGGGCAAAAGCGATGCTATTTTAAGGACAGCACGGCACACTGCAGTGCAGATGTACCTTTCACTCGCCCCGGGACACAGGGTACCCTGGCAGGGATGGGCACCAGCAGTGCTGGTGGCTCCAGGCTCACTGTGTCAGGTGAGGGCAGCCCAACTATGTACCCTCCTTCTGCTAAGGGCCCAGTACCTTTTACTGGGGGTGGAAAGAAAATGGCTTTGGGCATAAAAAAAAAATGTTTCTCTCCTTTTTGAGCACCTCCTGGCTTTTTGGCCTCCATCCAGGCAGCAGACGTCTCTGAGCTCTGTCCTGAGCAAGGTTTTGGACTTTCTCCAGCTCACCTCTGAAACCTGCTCTCAGAGCTGTATTGGAGCTCTTTTCCAGAAAATCTCCACCTTCTGGGAACTTGAGAGTTCTCCAGATGTCCCCAGGCTAGATAAGCTCAGCTCTGTTACCTTGGGGTCACAGGGGTGACCTTACCACCTCCCACCCATCCCCAGCAGGGTGCAGGGCTATTTGGCCAGACACTGGGGTTTGTGGTCCTGGGATGGAAATCGTGGCCACAGCAGATGCAAAGCCACCCTCCTCTCTTGATGCTGGGGCTGTGGGTGGCAGCCTGGCTCTGGGTCAAGACCCGACTTGGAGGCATTTGTGGCTGGGTGTCTCCCTCCTGCCAAGGTTTGGTTTGCAGCAGGGCTCTCAGCACCACTGATCTTCCTGCCTGTCCAAGCAAGGAGCCCAGTTTCCACTTTTTGGCAGCAATTGCAGAGTCAGGTTGGCTCTTTGGGAGAGGAACCCGTTGCTCGTGTCCAGGACTCCCCTTTACCCTGCACAAAGCTAGACAAGAGCACTATGGATGTGACAGTTTCTAGTAAGTATTCCTACACCCAGAAAGTGCCATGGTCCTTCTTGGCTGCAAAATGTCTCGCATCAAGGACAAAACCCATGACCAATGACATGCTGCCCCAACACCTCCATCAGCTCTGGTCTCTCTGTGGGTGCACCCCTCTCCTCAGACATTATGTTTCCAACACATAAAATATGGTAAGGTGGAACATAGATGTTGCTTCTGAGACATTTCTCCACTTGATAAATGCTTTCTGGGTCCTCCTGCTGCCGCCAGGAGTGAAGCCAAGCTGAGATCAGAGGAACAGCATGAGTTATTTCTAAAGCCAAGAGGGAAAGTGTCAACTTGTGGTTGATAAACAACGAGCCACTGTTTTCCTGGCCAGGTCATCCCTTCTGGTGATAGCAGAATGTCTTGGGCTAAAAATTCAAATTGATTTGGGGATGATCCTCCAAGTGTCATTCTTTAGAGGGACTATTATTATTGCACACTGGAAGAGAGCCCGTTTCAGTGAACATGCCCCATTAGCAGTGATTTATCTGTACTGCCACGTTTTTTCATTAATCTTTATTTTGAATTCATTTTTCTTTCCTGTGCGGCCAAGAGGGTCACATTCCTGACGAGCACTGGGTGCTCCCCAGGGTGACATCAAACACCAGCATGGCCCACACCAGCAAAACTACCCAGCACACCTTGGGAGGAGCAACAGGGCAGCCACGGAAAAGCAGCAGCTTACGCTCATCCTGCTGCCGCTGCACGAAGCCGGCAGGCTCATCAGGCTCTCCACTTTGAGGACCAAGCAAATATTTAACAAGTTCCCCTTACACTGTACCAGAGTTCATTATCCGGTCTCCTGAGCTCCTTCAGTCAGTAATATCCTCTAATTGATGTGATTTGGCACTTGGCCATAGCGTTAAATTGATTTGTAGACCAGCGGGAGACGGCAGATGCCCTTTACACTTGAGAAAAGTGGCATGTGGCTTTGTTTGCTGCCTGCTGCAAGGGGATGCCATGGCAAGAGATGTCTTTCAGGAGGGCAGGACGGGGGTCTGCCTCCTCCATGTCCTCTCACCCCGGCCCCTGTGAGGTGACAAGGCGCAACTGCCACCAGCAAGTGCCTGGGGATCGCTCCAGCCACAAAGTTCTCCCTCCCTGGTGTACAGGGGGAGAGAAATGGGGAATTCCCTTCTCTAAACCCAGGGCGAGATGCACGAGGTATCTCCATGCTCTTTTGAGGGGTGCCCCCACACAGACTCCCAGCTTAGGGCTGGCGTTGACCTTCTTCTGGAGCACGGGGAGTTGCCTCTGCTTGTGTAAGGGCAGGAGGAACAGGGTCAAACCGTCTGCTCCTGTATTAGAACTGTTAATACAGTAGAAGAGTTAAGAATCTCACTTTCCATTTTAATCATCTTATTCTTACTCCAGGAATTTTAAGCCAGCATTGAAATCCTTTTCTTATTGCACCAGAGAGCCACACTCATCTTTAAGGTATTTATTGATAATTAAAAATAGTAAGATTCCAATCACTCTTATAAAAATAGTAAATCCGAATAAAGTAGCGTGACTGTTAGAGGCAGGGAGAAAGATCATCCTCCTCGGATGTTCCATTACTCCAGTCATCATGGATCCGACAGGGCTGGAAGGATTTTTCCTGAGCACTGGCCGAATCCCACGCGGAAGCCGTTGCCCTGGCAGTAACCTAGGGCCAGAAAAAAAACAGATAGCTTGTTCCGTAAGGACAGCAGGGTTTTACCGGGAATAAAAGTGAATAAAGGCATAAAGAGACCAAAAACAAGTGGAAACATTTCAAAAATGCAATGAGAGGTTAAAAAAAAGAAAGAACACCTGGAAGTTCAAGTAGCCCAGAAATATTAAAAAAGAAAAAAGCAGCACAAAACATTAAACGCAGCAATATGCAAGTTCAGTGAACATGATCAAAGCACAAACAAGATGTGCGATATTTCTGTTTTCAAACCCAACCTGCAGCATCATCAATCTAACCAGCAAGCTGATTCACTGCCTGGCCCAGCCTTGCAATTAATGAAGTAAATCTGGATTCTTTCTGCAGCATTAGAACTGCTCTGGGGACATCTGCTTATAGCCAGAAAGATGATCATTAACCCCCCCAAACAGCAGGACCTGCCCTCGCAGAATCTGTTTCGTTCGCTAAAATCAGGGAGTTTGGTTCCATGAGAAACTCAGCGTCTGACTCAAAACATTCATTTATCCTCTGTTATATAAACAGACGTTGAAGGTCTGCTGACTGCTGCTGAAGTTACCGGCCTGTGACAACATCTCCAGCTACAGGACAATTCAATCTCTCCCTACTCCTGCGTGATGGGAGAGATGACATTAGGAGAGAGATGCCGCAGCGTCTCTTGCTGCCACGGGCCAGCCGAGCTGCTCCGGAAACACCATCCGTGAGCAAAGCTGCAGACGAAGGAGGGGAGGGGACACAGCCAGGGGCTCCTGGCCCATCTGGGAAGACTATTCTGGGACCAAACAGCTGAGGAGACCTGCTGTAGCTCTCTGCTAACAACAGCTGATCAAAGAAAGGACACAAGTGGCATATGCTGTATTTTAAGGACTGATTCCAGAGTAAGAGATGGATTTCCCTAAAATAATGGAATGTATCATCCTCTCTGCATGTGATAAAAAACAGCTGCCTTCAAGAAGCCAAGAGGGAGCTGAACAGAGCAGACTCTAATTCCCACCCCTAGTACAGACCAGTGGAAACCTCCAACAAGGAAGGTTTGGGTGGGCTCATGCTGCCGGGCAGCCAAAGTTCCTGCAGCACAAGGACAGACCCTGCCAGCTCTAACCCACAGCGCAGCTCACCCAGCCAAGCTGAAATGAAGCTTGTCCAAGGACAGCAGTGTCTACAAGCGCTTGCGTAACAGCACACCCACAGACCCCATCCCAGTATCTGCTGGGTAATCCTCATTCACAAGCAATACTTGGGCAAGACACTTGCTTTAAGGCCCAGCTCAGTTTCCATTTGTCTCATTAGGTTTCATCGCCAGCTTTCCTTTGAGCGCCAGCTTAATATTTCAGTCCAGTTTAGTTATCCCCGCTGTCAGCTACGATTTAGAGCAGCACCAAGGAGCAGCAGTACCAAGCATTTAACAAAGCAAGCTCTGTGCTGCCAGCAGCACCGGCCTGAGCACAGTGCCAAGGAGCTACGGACAGATTTCTGCAGCTGGCTGCAGCTCCCCATCAGCAAACCTTCCCTCGCAACGCCCCCTCCCCGAGACGCGCTTCTTCCGAAAAATATATTTATCTCATTTTCTGTGTTAGGGCTCTGAAATAGCTCCCGCAGGGGGAGTGAGAACACAAAGTTGAAATGGGAGAGTAGAAATGACGGGTTGGGGACTTGGCAAGAGCTAGTGGCACAGCCTCGGGAGAGGACGCGATAGCAGCAGCCCTGCCCCAAGGGTGCCTTAAGGCACTGGACCTGCTGTACATCACTGAATAGGAGCAGAATCCCAACTGCCCCAGCAGACAGCTCCAGCAGCACCTGGCTCTCATAAACGGCGCGATGCCCTGATCACTACGATCACAGACCGTTGCTAGTTTAAAACAGCCCAGCAGAACGATTAGCGTAAGGCTGTCCCACTGGGTCTATGGTGCCTTCATCCAGGTTAACAACAATGCCATCATGCCATCTTTAAAGGTAAAAGATTCAGGATTTAAAATATTTATTTAAGTGGCAGCAGCTTGTTCTGGGCATGAAGAACAACATGGGTCATGGTCTAGGTGGCCAGCAGCAAACAAACTGCGAGGTGCTCATTGCCAATAAGGATGTCAGCACGCAACTCCAAAGGGACATTCATAATCCTGAACTGTACCCTAACTTAGGGCTCCTGGCATAGTTACTGGAGAGAGACCTGTACTTCTGTAGGGCAACGTGGTACTCTGAACTGCTGCAGGAATGTCTCTCTGCACTGAACGTACAGAGAGTCGATGGAGAGCCACGTCAGAACCCTACAAATTGCAGCATGAGTGGTAGCTGGGTTGTTGAGAGGCTGAAGGATGTCAGTGGTATCGAGGAGTCCTCAGTTTCATCATCTGTGGCTCTCTCCCCCACATCTCAGTCTCCAGTTGCCTCAGAATCTTCCTCTGCAAAACTGGCAGCACCTCACAGAAACATGATTTTCAAAGCTGAAACATGATTTTCACAGGCTGCCAGACAGAAGGCACTGGGGCTCTGGCTACAGCACTGCCAAAACCGCTTATAGACCCATCACTGGGAGACTGGAATACTTCCTTTTTTTTTTTCTTTCATGAAAGAAAAGTTCTTGCATTTTGTTAAAAAGCTTTCAAAAAAAAAACCAGGCACAGGTATGTGAACACATATGAGCTTCACATCATCATGTCCTTTGGGCCATGCAAAGGCACTAGTCACTCCCGTTTTCTCTGCTCTAAGTCACATGTGTCAGTGTTTTGTCACCGCTTGAGCCATTTTGTTCTCTGTGCAGACTGTCTCTGATGGCATCAGCATGATGGAGTTGCTCAGAGTCAGGTGTGGCACTGTCTGGGTCTCATCTGATGATGCACAATGTCCCACAAGATATTCTCTAAAAAGTCAGGAGGCGATGTAGCAAAGACATATGCAGGCTTGAATCAAAAGTTTCCTATGGCTGTTCTTGCCAAATATTGGCCACCTCAAAGCCTTAAGGGGATTGACAAGGTGAGAGGAAAGGAAAAAATAGATTTGTTTCACTCTAGTCTTTGGATTAAAAAGAAGTACGAGTGGGACTTAGATCACAAATCACCACGGTAGATTTAAATTCATAAAATCCCTAGTTTATCAAGGTGAAAATTAAAACCATGGCCCAGCATGAAACAGCTCTCAAGCACAGCCCTTTTCAGAGGGGAGCTGATCAGCTGTTCTAGGAGGCTTCATGCTGTTTCCCATATATTTGATTTGCAACACACCTCACTGAATAGCCCATGTTACAAATTAAATACCATTTGCAAAATAACTTTCTTGAGCACTTGCCAAGCTCCTCTCCACGTGCAAACTTGGACCGTGGCGGCAACAATCCATCAACTGCTTCTAGCCCCAGGGTATTTTCACCCACAGAGGCAAACTCACCTCCAGCAACCCCTTTGCCCTCCTGCACAGTCACAGGAAGATTGTGAAGTACTCAGCAAAGCAAATAACCTGATCCAGAAAGCATCTATTGCAGGGGAATTTCTATCTCCCTGCTTTTGCCTCCTGACAGGTAGGATGGAAACAACTGTGCTTGCATGGCAAGTACGTACAGAACAGCCCACCTCCCTGCCAGGAGCCTGCACTGCTGCCATCAATCTACGGAAACATGTCCTTGGTGCGGTGTAAGAGCAGTTGTTCAGCCATTACCTGTCAAAATGATTTCGTCTCCATCCTGCAGGAATTTACGAGACTGTCCACTGCCAAGAGCGATTTCTTTTGTTCCGTTCCAGGACAGCTCCAGCATGGAGCCGAAGCTCTCTGGCTCCTGCAGCAAGAGTTCATAAACAAATAAACAACTTTTTAGTATCTGTCCTGCTGTTAAGCTACTTGCTGCTGGAAGGAGACACACAAGAACGTTCACTCTGTAGAACAGAGTTTTGCTGTTGATTTAATTCACTGATACATTGCCTTGTTTTCCTGCCTTTGCATTTCAACTGCTTGCTATACAGTCATGCTTACAGCCGTTATCTGGTGTGTTTAACGTAGTGCTAAACCCTGTGCAAGTAGTTTGGGTCTGCTACAGCAAGAATGGAAACAAATCGAGGGCACTTCTACAAATCCAGAGCTTTCACGTAGTCACGTTTTGGATTTTTATTTACACTTTGCTCTTCAGAAGAGCAAAGCTGGTGAATATTTGTAAGCCTTTAATGTCCATCCACAGTACAATAGTTTGAAGAAAGCAAAAAGTGTTTCAGAAACGCTTGAAATGGAAGTATAGTTATCCCAACTTGGAAACGACTTGCCCAAGGCTGTCTTTCAGAAAGCATAAACAGGATTTATATTTAATGTTTCTGAAAGTGCGAGTTACCCATATATTGCAACAACTGTCCATATGGCAGTTCAAGGGGAATAATAGCTTGTGAAGTTAGCTCCAAACATGTAGTATTAGAGAAATTACAAGTTATACCCATGCACCTTTTTACATTAAATGGGCCATGTGGATGCTTCTGCACAGAAATTAATTGGCATCTGTAGTAAAATAGTTCTTAAGGAAAGGAGTACAGGAGAGATGAAAAACCAAAACCCACTAACAACAAAAACCCCACCACTTCTCAGTGTGATTTCGGGGCTATGAAAGCATCAGCCCAAAGTGCCTGGGAAAGAACTGCAGATACTTCCATGGCTGCTCAAGTCAAACAGGGCTCAGACTCAAAGCCCCGCTCAGTCCGTTTTGGATTGCTGGCCAGTTCTCAGTGACTGTCATTATTTAAACACTCACGGGTCCACTGATTGTGCCGGAGGCCAGGAGATCTCCAGGTCTGAGGTTGCACCCATTGATGGAATGATGAGCCAGCTGCTGTTTCATGGTCCAGTACATGTGCTGGAGGAAGGAGGAAGAGGAAGCTAAAGCACTGAAGGACAAACCTCTGTGCCATGCAATTAGGCTATGCAGAATGTATTGCATTACTGGGATGATGCTGGCATGATTGTCCCTAAAGAAAAGTTTCCTTATTTAATCAGGAACCTTCAGCAGCCTAAAAGCAACTTCCACAGTTACTTCATGCTGCATTCTCAGTAGAGACAATTGCTCTCTGACAAAGCTGATTGCTTTCTAAATGATGGCCAGGAGCTGCTATATGTATATAAAGCATGTACTCTCACATGCAATCTAGTCCCTTAAAATCTCTCTTTTTTCAGCTGGATGCCATTTCTCCTCTTCTTCTTCTTCTTTAAGGCCAGCACTGCCGACCCATGATCAAGTCTAGTATTTTAATGGCTTTATAGAAAAATCTCCTTATTACTGATTTGCTGACTACTGATTTACTGATTAAGGTAATTACCATGCAAAGAACCAAATGTGAGTAGAAAATTGAGAAATCCTGCAGCTGGTACATACACCTCCTGCCTTCAATCATCCCGTGGAGGCAGAGCCACCACGCTGCAACTGCAAAGCCGTATTGCACCTCGATTCCCTTTGCCTGCGCGTCCTCCGCTCCCACCGCTTACAACTTGCAACGCCCTGAGCACGCTAAGCCGAGCAGCGGAAAGAGCTGCCCCCTTCTTCAGGGCTCCGGCATTCAGGTGCTTCCATCTCGCAAGGGATGGACTATATCAGCACCCTCCACTCTTCTCCCTCCATCCCTTCCGCACACACGCACAGGGTCTGATCTTCAGCTAATGCAAAAGTCAGCGTTTGAAATTGCCTAAGGCTGGAGCTGATGGCATCAGCAAGATTTCAAACAAACCAAAGATACTGGAGTCTTACCTTGAAATTGGATCTGCATATAGTGGTTGGCGTACTCATCCCTTCTCCTGTGGAAAATAAAAAACAAGAAACAGGGAAGCAATTTGTTTGTGTTGGATGAATGATGTCGGAGTCTTTTGATTTTACAGATGGATGGAGACTTCTTTCATCATTGTAATCCCCTGCAGGAAACAAGTAATAACATTTTCTATTCCAGCATTTCACAGAGAACAAGTGTGTGGATGGTGCTGGGGTAGTATCAAGGTGCCCGTTTCCTCTCTGCTCTACCAAAGGAGCAACACCTGGACCTACTGGTCAGCAGGGCCACCAGCTGGGGGCCTGAGCTGGGTTAACATCTGAATCTCACATACACCTGCTCTTTCCATGCCCTGCTTACATCTGCCCATGCAGGCAGACCTCCTCATCATAGGGTGATCATCTGGGCGGCATTCCACCCTTGACACATTGTTGCACGGCCAACGGGGAGCATGAAGAGCTTTGACACTCTGGGCAAAGATAGAAAAGGAGGACCACAGAGCCAAGAGAAAATTGTCTGAAATACATGGTGGTTCTACATTCCCTAATCGGCACTTTCCACTTTCCGCCCCACTCAGCATTACTGTACCTTTAATAGCAACAAAGAGCTTGATGTCGAAAGTGTAGGGTTCTTTATCCTGAAGGTAGGGCAGCGGCTTGGGATCCTAAAAGCATACGAAAGGCACCACAGTCTAAACAAACAGAACGGAAAAATTCCACGAGCCATCCCAGTGACTTTTTGCCGAACCAGACCGTGCTGCACACCCCATTTACTTCACTGTTGCTACTGCTCAGATTATTGCTTTCTTGCTCTCGTGCACACACTTTTAAAGATCCTTCTGAGCAGATGTGATATCCAGACAATCCGATTCTCTTTTTTGCACATGGGATCCTAAAGCCCTCTGTGGCTGTTAATCCTAAACAAACACAGTGCCAGCACACCTTTGCTCTGTGCCTGCACAGAGAAGACAGTGAGTTCACTGCAAGACTCTTCATTATCTTTTCCCATTTTAACTAAAACTCTACGTAACGCAGACGACTGGAAATGCTTGAACAAAGCATTTTGGCTTGAGTCCACTCTCTCTTGCTGGATGCTAAGTGCTACCAAACGCTAGCAAGAAACTCTGATTGGTTTATTTTCCAGATCTTTTGAAGGAGACGATTTTTCTGGCCCGCTCGAGGGAGCAGGATGACAGCTCTGGGCTCCATGTGCCAGCACCAGTGACATCAATCAGCATTTGAACTCAGAGGGCCCAGGGTGTTTTCCTATGTTTGGAAGCAGGATCACACTTACAAACTCTGATGAAGAAAGTGCTTGGCAGTGGTACAGCTCAGCGATTTCAGCGATGGGACCTACCAGTGCAGCTGAGATTTTTCTAGCACTGCTTTTGCTTTGTTTCAACCCTTCTCTCACTAACCTGGACAGGGTTTGGTAACACGAATGGCATGAGAGCTTCCATGGTGACCACCCAAGGAGAGATGGTTGTGCCAAAGCTCTTGCTCAGGAAGGGACCCAGAGGAACGTATTCCCATTTCTGGATGTCACGGGCTAGGAAGAGAACATTCAAAGCAGCACTGTTAAACATGTCCTGGGAATTGCACAGCCATCACGCCTGTGAAAGAGTAACATGGACTGGAAATGTTATCACCACCCTTTTCTAGCCATTGTACCCAAATCCTGATTTAAATCCATCCCTTTCAGACTCTCAAACCAATTTTCTTAGACAAGCTAATTAGGAAGAAAAATCAGCAATAATTAAAACAAGTCAGGCCATCCCCATATAACCAGTATTTTTCTCTCCAGTTTAGTTTAAGCTTTTATGCCCAGTTAACGGTCCATGCCAATCATAGGGCAAATTTCAACTAGTTAAATCTATGCAGAGACTGAGGGATTTGTGATTGCCAAACCCTTTTCCTACTCCTGACACTGAGATCAATCCTCTGCTGGAATCACCATCCTTAGGGCAGCTCCACCCCTGCCCTGAAGAAAGTAGACTGATATTAGCTCTTTCATAAGTAAATAAATCTTCATTAGGCAGCAATTTCTGGTTCTACTGATTGATCGCAGACGGATTGAGATAGAGCCTGAGAAATGCAGGCAGCGTTTCATTTTCATCCCTTTCAACTGTACTCAGTGGTATCAATGATCACTATTCTACTATTAAAATATATGATTTATCACTATCTGAGGTCTCTGGTGACGCAGTAACCCCCTCTCCAGGCAGACTCCCGCAGCACCAATTACCGCTCCAGTCATTCATAAGGACCATCCCAAAGATGTGCTCCTGGGCTCTGCTGATCGGAATCGGTTCCCCATACTTGTTTCCAGGACCTACAAAGAAGGCCTGCAATTGAAAAGCGAAACGTTGATTGAGGAAGTTTTTGAAGCTAAAAATCTTTACACACACAAGCAACAGAGGCTGGGCAGGATGGGATTTTGCCTCATTTCCCATACACAATTAGACAAAATTCACGGCCTACTCTCTCTTTCTTCCCCTCCATGAAGCTAGCAGGCTTGAAGTACTTAAGAGCACTGTGTTGCTAAGAGACAGGCATTAAGTAAGGGCATGACGTTGTCAAAACACAGGAGCCAAAACGGTCCCTCCTAATTACAATTCTGATGCAGAACAGGTTTGCCCACTAAAGGGACTCTGTTTGCTGCAGACAGCAAACAGGAAAGCGTTTAAAGTCATCCAAGGGGATGCTGAACGCGGCTGGAGCCTGTCATGACAGTGGGGAAGAGGAGGCAGGTGGAGAAGTGTGGCTACTAAGTAAAAGAGATCATGGTTCCCTGCACTTGCTCCCTTAGGAAATGTACAGCCCGAGCACTTGGCAGAGAAATCTACAGGGAATCTCAGTTGTCTCTTTCTGCCAATGATATGGAAGTTTTTTCTTCCAAAGTCTTCATCAGTCTAAAGCTGCTCTTGCAGCAGCCAGTGGTAAAACTCAGGCTGCAAAGCAGAGGTACGGCAGCGCTTCGTGTTCCCCACTTTATGGGACTGCCTCCCGCTTTACAGCGCTCATCTGAAAGCATACAGCACTGGAGGCTTTCTGTTCATTTTTAAGTACCATTTTCCCTAATATTAGACTACTTCCACTTTTTTTTAAAGGGGAGACATGGGGAATAAATCAATACAATTAAATAAATCATATAAGTCACAATCAACAATCATATAAATCACAATCAACAATCCTATAAAACTCTCCCCTTCTGAACCACACTAAGCAATGAGAAGATGCATCTTCCAAGGATGCTTTGTTACAAGACCCACAGCACAGGTTTCATCTTTCCAGCTAGAAGGATGAGGACTTTGAATTGCCCTCCCAAGAGCTCAACGGCTTCGCCTGCCCTAGACTGAAGGTGCAGACAACCTGTGCTTCCAAAATCCCCAGCACCCATTAAAAGATCCTGGCTGCAGCACCGAGGTAACTCCTAACCAGTTTATCAGCATCCAGTAAAAAGAATTATGTCTACGTTCTTCCAGACTGCTGTACTGGGGCTCAGATTTGGCCAGACAAGCTGCTTCCAGCCTGAAAGTTGTGTTAGCAAACCACTCAAGGAGCTAACGCGCCCTGCAATTCATCAGAAGGGAAGGTTTCCTCCAGAGAAATCTTTATTGCCTGCTGCACAGTTTGCTCAGAGGGAAACATGGGAATGGACCTTAGGAGACCTTCATTTTAGCAGAAGCTAAACCTACCTTTTCTTCCCTGTTTCTATTTACACGTTTTTTGAGTAATAAGGGGAAAAAAAGCCCCATCTTACCATTTCTAACTCAATATCCAGACGCTTACAAGCGCCAAACACTGGAGGTTTATCTGTGGGTAGAAGAAAGAGTATTTTACGACAGGGAGGCAGGTAGGGAAATAAACGTAATAGCCAGAGGAACCAGAGCAGCTGCTGCTGCCTGGCATGCAAACACAAGATGGACTTAACTCACAGCTTTCTCGTGCCGTGACCCCAGGCTGGGTTTTAAACAAGGTGTACCAGACCCTTCCCCTCCACTACTCTATGATGTGGAGGAAAAACAGAAAATAAAAAAAATAAGAAACCACATGAAAAGCCTACCACAGACTCACCATTGTCAGGTCTCATTTGCCCCACAGGTCTCCGGATGGGCGTCCCAGACACCACAACGGACGATGCCCGGCCGTGATAACCGACGGGTAAGTGCAGCCTTGTGAAATAGCATCAGAGAGCGTGGGTTAGCTGTGCAATCACCATCCGAGCAGCTTTTTGGGGTGGAAGCACCATGGGGGTGCAAGGGATGAGGAGAGAGCTATGCACAGATGGGCACGGACATTGGCACCTTACTTGCTCTGATATAGAGACGTGAGCGAACTCTAATCCAAAGCCATGTAGCAGTCAATGCACTTCTGTGCCACTTAATTCCTTGGAGCTTAAACCCTGCTTTCTCATCACTCAGCAAAAAACAATTTCGTAGGCAAATCTGTTTTGAACAGAGGGCTGCAGCGTAATTGGTGCAGCTGATGCAACAAAACACAGTGCAGCCTCGGCTAAGGCTGGCGAAATGTGTTTTTTGGATCTGGTATCGAATTCTTGACAGTACAGATCCTCATCTGCTATGAACTGAAATCAGTATTTTCCTGAAAGACTACTCGAATCTTTTAAAAGAATCACATATACGTACAGATGAGCGTGCAAAATAATGCCACACCACAGAAAAACCTGAACTACCCACCAGTTAGGCATCAAAGCGTTCTCCTTCCCCCTAAACATGATCCCAACGTTTGTGGCATGTTGGCGCGAAGAATAGAAGTCAGTGTAATCTCCTGCGAGAAAACAAACCCATAAAATCGGGATCAGCGGCAGGAAAGCCCCTCACCCGCTGGGGCTAAAGCACATCGCACGCTGCTGGCGAGGAGAAGGGCAGAAGAGGAGACCGCGAGAGCGCTGCGCGGGGGCACGGAGCGACGTTCAGTATCAGCGCGGGGATGCAATTAACAGCGCAAAGGCGGCGGTTAACATTCGCCCGGAAATTTCGCGTGCGAAACGGGCTTTTATTTTTTTTCGAAGTCTCTGGCAGAGAAGGGGGGGTAAGAGC